GAAGAATTCCGCCTTGGAAGTCCTCAGGTGGGCGACGACCAAATCATACATACCTTGGTGCCGACTCTGCCCAACTTGTATTCGGCTTTAACGCCCAGCGTCACTAGATCCGCGATGAGCTCATTAAGATGAGCATTTTTCACTACCAATGGAGGTAGCTTCACTTTTGCCGCACTCGGACCGGCAGAATTTTCGTTGTCGATGGCGTCGCCGAAATCACCGATGTCGCTGGCGTTCGTTGATGTGACGTCATCACGTCCACTCCCACCATCGGACTGGGCTTGGTTTTTCTTCCTCTTCTTGGATCGCTTCACCGTGGCGGAGGTGGTATTCCCAACATCGGTGGGAAGAGTAGCGTACCTATTTGAGATAGGTACACTCGTGCCACCCTCACCACTGTTCTTCTCCGCTTTCTCACGGAGCCTGCTCCAGGAGCGCTGTCTTCCCATCACACGATGCGACCGACACTACTGACGACGCGAATAAACGTTTGAAATAAATTTTCGAACAACTCGACAGAGCGAGCAAACACCAGACTGAACTGCTTGACGGACAAGCAGATAAATGAATGACAATGTGAATGCGTGATTCGCTTGCTTTTATACTTTTTTAAATTGATGATTGATCTAACAATGTACTACGCAAAACGGAATGAACGTGTACAATGTCATAAAAGCTAGTTTCTGATTGGATGTTTACACTTATTTATGTTCTTATTGCTAGTGTTAGTAGGGGAAGCCGTTTCCCCGCGGCCTTCTCGGGGCTAGTAAAACAAAATGCAAGGAGGGGAAAAAGGATAGGGAAATATTTCTGCTGTGCTGATTCCTGCGGCCAACATCGGAAACGTAGAGTGGTTAGCGGTGGCGGTGTAATCGATACACTTCAGTGGTACCAATCTATTGACTTCTCGACGCAACATCTCACTTATACAATCTAGCTAGCGCAGCCCTGTAAAATCGCTTTGTTTATTATTTTCAACCACGAAATCAGCTGTCAAAGTGTTCGACTTGACAGTGGTTTGTTTTTTATTTTCAACCAGTAAAATGCATGTATTAGTGAGACTTCTCACTAATACTAACGGTGGTAGAGAACTCTATTCGCTGTTGTGAACAGGCTCAACCGAGGGGGACGACTCTATCTACGCTGCAGTAAAGATTGTGTTGTGCTGTGGCTAGCTGCTCGCACGCTGAGTAGATGGAAAGAAGATTGATGACGATTCTGAAGATTTCCTGCAAAAAGATGATGCACGAAGCATGTAGATGCGAGAAATGCAAGAAGATTTTTCGAAGATTGACTCGCTAGTGTGAGATTTTTTGAGCATCTAAAATTGAGATGTAGATGTGTCACCCCCCTCGGGCTCAACCAAGGTTTTATTCGATGTCCTGGCTTATTATTTGCATCCATAGAGCTACTTAGGACCTAATCACATTATGAGAGACATAGATCTGTTAAAAATATCTTAGATTTCCAAATCATTTCGGGGCTATGGTTCAGCCGACTCAATGAGATATTGTATGATGTAACGACAAAATTTTTCGAACCCGCAGATCTTCATGGACCTCCTGGTAGGATATAAATGTGAAATTACAAAATAATTCGGGTCCTTCAAAAACATATTCCAAATTTTAGTTTGAACTTCATGGTCTAAGCGCCCATATGGTTTGAAGAACCAAACATATTTTATCAAATTTGCGAACAATATAGTCATGACTTTAAAATTCAGTAATGGATTCTAAATCATTAAATATTTTGAATTGGAATGGTCGATCTCTTAAAGATAATGAAGACGAGCTATTTAACTTTTTGAGAGCTCATAACGCTCATATTGCCGAAACCTGTAGTGCCATCACTGTTCATAGGCAAATTAAACATCAAATTCTTTCTTCATTTGAAACCATTACGTTTATAGCTGCCTATTTGCCATTAGAATGCGTAGACCAGCAAAAGAATTTGTTCAAGGGTGACCTTCAGAAACTTACCCATCATAGGTCTAAATTCTTCATTATTGGTGATTTAATGCAAAACACCGTTCATGGAATAATGCTTAAAGCAATTCCAATGGTAATATTCTGTTTGATGACTGTTCTCCAGGTTATTACACTATTCAATATCCAAGAACTATTGATTTGGTCTTAACTGATTCATGTCAACTTTGTAGCCAATTAGTTACCATGACTTCTGTTCTGATCACCTTCCAGTAACTTTTGAAATATCCCATGAAATAATTTCTAATCCCTTGCAATCTACTTGCAATTGCCATACAGCTGATTGGGAGCAATATCGAACATAACTTCGATCCAAACATTCCTTTGCAAACCAAAGATGATGTTAATTATGCTCTTGAATATCTGACTACTTCTATAGTTGAAGCAAGAGCTGCCTCATTACCAAAATACGAGGTTAAATTCGATTCAATTACAATAGACGACGATCTTTAGTTCTTGATCGGTCTGAAAAATGTCCGTAGGAGGCAATATCAAAGAACACGTGATCCTGCCATGAAAATTATCAGGCGCGATTTGCAAAAACAAATTAAAAAGCGATTCGCTGCCCTGGAAATCGGTGGAAACTAACGATTTGAAATTGGCTCACTACTTGGCTAGCCTATTGGTCCCAAGTATATCTATAATAGTACGTTCAGACTACAGAGTTATAACATGTTATAGCGCTATCTTGATGGTGGTTTCTGTGTTGTAATTATTTGACAACCGTTATAACATGTTATAACCCTCCAGTCTGGACAGCGTTTAAGCGTACCCTATTCTAGCCCTGGAAACCGGTTGAAACTAACGATTTGAAATCGGCTCACTACTTGGCTAGCCTATTGGTCCCAAGTATAACTATAAGTGTACCCTATTATAGTCGAAATTCTAGCAGTTCACTGTTTGTTTTGATTCGCTATGAAAGTTTGACAGATAAAATGAGGGGCTCGTGGATTTTCCTTTGTTTCGAGGGATGCATCGATTAGCTTGGGACCGAAGATAATAGCACCCGCATAAACGCGAACCATAACTTGACGTTACCGACAATGGTTAAAAATTGTCTACAATCCCTGCTAAACTTTAACTGAAATGGTTATGGAACTTTACATGAACGTTTGTTTGATAAAGTTTTAACCTTATGTATTATGGTTCTTTGGAAGTGAACCTTACACTTTACCTTACCTTGATTCTTAACAACCCATTACCTTTCAAAATAGATGTTTTTTCCATACATTTTCGGATAGAGGACTATATTAGAACCTTTTTACTTATGGTTTGATTACTTTAATGGTAATGGTTATGGTAGCCAGTAAAGTTCATTAGTGGTTTTGTATTATCGGTCAACTTTACGTGGAATATATCGTAATCAGGCAACCAATTCGCGATATATTCCACATAAAGTTGATGGATGTTACAAAACCATCTATGAACCTTACCGACTACCATAACCATTACCATTAAAGTTCTCAATTCATAAATAAAATGGTTCCAATATAATTCCTTTCCCAAAAATGTATGGAGAAAACTGAGCCAAAAAGTTGAGCACGTTTCTTCAGGACCTTCTGGTCTTAGAGTTACCTCTAAGGTACTCTAGACGGTACTACCCAGGGGCCTGTCTGGCGGTCATGTTTTTGATGCTATTATCTGCTCTTGTCTTTCTGCTTACAACACGATTTTCCGTTCCTTTCCACCATGTATACGTCAGGCGGGCCGTATTTAAGGCCCGTGATCTTGCCTACTGTCAAACGTATAGGACTGATATGGGGTTGCCAGTTTCCTGGTACTACTTATGGTAGAACTCTCCTGGGACCTCATTGCTGATAGAGTTAGTTCTGTCCCTGCAAGTTTTAGATTACTAGCAGAAAGAAATAAACTAAGAAAAACCTACTTTTCAAGCAATTTCCTTTCGAAATATCTGCAAGACACTTTGCGACTGAAGCGAGGACTGGAAGATGTTATCTAAGTTTCATTTCCCTCATTTATGAGTAAAAAAGTACTTATTATTTTCGTCCAAAGCGATCTGAGGAATGGGTAAACAAGTTCCAATTATCAGCAAGTAAATTGAAAGTAAGCCATTATTTGACAGCTTCATATAGTCATCAACAATGGGTACTTTTTACCCATTAATGGTTACAGTTACAGTGTGCATTAAGCAGGCACGTTAAACGATATTTAGGAAAAATCATCCCTTCCGTCCCCCCTTTCGTCACTTTTTCCATAGGGGAAACGCTTCTATAGTTGCGGTACGTTAGAAGCGTTAGGTTCCTATAGTTGTGCATGGAGATCTGGAGACTAAATACACAACTATAGGAACCTAACGCTTCTAACGTACCGCAACTATAGGAGCGTTTACCCTATACCTAATCAATTGCTTGTCACACATCTGAAAATTCCCCCCCTCCTCATCGCCTAGAACGTGACGTACTTAATGGATGCTCCCTGACCAACATATTTGCGAATTTGAGTAAACAGCACTCAAATATGAGTTAGTTCAATGGCCGTGTACGAAACGATCGCAATGGCTGACTTCCCTTTTGTTCATTGACAAAGTGTGCTAACGCTTCAATCAATCGTAACCGTCACTACTGGTACCGTTATGTTTTCGGTTTTTTTTTCGCATGCTTGTTCGAATGTATAGGTGTTGCGTGTAATTCTGACAAAAACAAATTCCGATTCATAAGAGGTACGACGAGTCCGACAGGGAATCGTAGGCGGTATGGTGCCTTGTTTCATTTGGAATGTTTGGGCGTTTCTCCAGAATCGCAAATCGAAATTACGTTTCATTGTAATGCAAATGTTGTATTTATTTGTTATTACGCTAGGTATTTTGAAAATTTATGCAATCGAATATCAGTTCAAGATACTACAATAATTACATAGTTCTATAAATTTCAATGAATGGAACAAGATAGCATACGACGCCAATGAAGGTGTATTGAGTTGAGTGAGACATCGCCACCGTTCTAGTGTGTGTGTGAATGTTCGTGCATTCAAAACCTGCTGACTGTCGATGTCGGAGTCGATCGTCGTCGTCTCGTCGGTCGGTCATCACATCATCGCGCCGCAGTTTTGTTGGTTCGACTCGAGCGTCGTCATTCTGTGTGCAGTGTTCTTCGGTCGTGGTTGGTCGCGTATTTTTATTGTTCCGCGAGCGGTTCTCTTCTGCTTGGTGGATTATAAGTTTGTTGGTGCAATCAGCAATTTTAACGACATTCTCGTTGTGAAGCGTGTGCGACGACGGTCCTTGATAAAATAAAGTGTTTATTCTGGTGTCTTTTACTCACGTAGGGTTTGTGCGGATTCGTCCGGTTGTCTCGTTTCCGGAGGTCAGCTGCTCCGTCTGGAAGAAAACTTTCAGTGTAGTGTCATCAGTTCTTGGAACGAGCGGTGAGTTCCGTTTTAGAGACAGTGCTTATGAAGGAATCCCTAAATAGAAAACGTCTTGAAAAATAATTTGGGTTATTGCAAACCGCTCTGTTTGGACGGAAATAGAAGGCCGCTGTCGTCTTGTTTCTTTATGACGACGAGTCCTGGCCCTATTTTGAATCAACAACAGCAATAACAGCAAGTAACACCATCAACGGAAAGACTGCTCAGATTTAGATGGCAAGTGCTGCGAGTGAGGAAGTGGTGATACGATAAAAGATAAATAAAAATTGCGGATGTGTATTTTGTTGTGCAAAGTAGGCAAAGACGAAAAGAAAAATATCGCATGAATTTGTGTGGTTTGTTTTCTTTTGCCTTGGTTGGCCGAAATTGTGAAGCAGCAAAAGTAAAAAATTATTCAGGTTATTAAAAAAATTACTCATACGGCGAGGAAAGACGAATGAATGAGTGAAAAGAAGAGAAAAAAAACCAACACAAGAGAAAACCTTCGGCTTACAGCACTGAGAAAGAGATACACATACGCACTGAGGCCGTAGAGAGTGTGAAAGGAAGTTCAATTACTGCTGTGTGTTTTGTATGAACGAAGAAAAGTGTAGGAGCAGGAGAAAGCCCCTCATTGGAGAGAAAAAAAAGAAAAACTGGTCAAGTGGGTGGGAATTAAGCAGAATAATAATGTGTAATAAATTGAATTATATCTTGTGCTAGTTTTGCTGTGTATTCTGGAGGTGTTTTTGTTCTACTTGCCGCAGACACTCTTGAAAACATATGTGCTCGTTTAGGTGTGTTAATTCAGCAGCAGTAGTGGTGGTTGGCCACACAAAACAGAAGAATGTACGACAGGGTGGCCAGATGGTTTGTGTACGCAACGTGATCAGCTGTTTGAGCATACTTTAATTTTGTTGGAGATTAACATGAACGTGTTAACTATTGTACAATTTAAAATATAGATAGAAAAGAGTATAATATAAATAAAAAAATAGGATACAGGCCCATTCCATAAAGTCCTTCACCACGGTTTTTCAACTATTTTTTTTTATTTTCTGTGTTTTTATTACTTTAAATTGAATTTCACTTTAGTTTGTCTTGAAAAACACGATTAAAATTAACTGGGTAATATCATAATATTTTTATTCGCCGGAAAATTTCTATTAAAACAGAGTTAACGTCGATAAAATGCAATTTTTAGGTCGCGTTGTCACGTTACGCAGTGTTCTACTTCTAGTATAATTTATAAGTGACTATACACATACCTACCGATTGGGAAACAAAGTAAACTATGTTACTTTCTATTGGTGCTCAAAAAAATTGCTAAAAATTTGCGACACCTGGGTCAGTAGTTATTTTTTCGTATGTTGTTCATTGTTTTGATGCAGGCTCTGAAAAGAAAAAAAAAATTGACCTTTTGAATCTTTAACTTCGCTATAATTAATATTATTGCAAATACCTTAAAGTAAGTAGAGAGACTATAATTTTAATTTTCTTTACATTTTTTAAACATTTCTCCATAGTAAGTAGTAAAAATCCACGCATACCTAATAGCAAATTAAATTTTTCAATACATCACTAGAAACCAAACAATAGTTTTATATAAAGATTTTGTGCGATATGAACAATGTGTGTTGCTGTTTATTCGAAAAAAAAAAACTGGGTTTTATTTTTCAAAATCACACGGAAGTTGAAAGCCTCTTAGCGGTTTCTTTCAAACTCCTTCGAAGAATTCCCACGTTATTGTAACAATGCAGCTTTCATATTATTTTTATAAAATTCGCGTCATGAAGTACACATCCTTTGGATAACATTATTTTTATTCATGGAATCATGCAATGGATCCCAGGCTTTTTAATCAATTTTGGTTTTGTTTGGTTTTGAACTTCCTTTGCGGAAGCGTACTAAAATATTGTGTGAAAGGGGTTTTTTCAACTTAATATTCTTCATGGCATTCCTAGCAAATTGGTGGAATCCTCTATAATAATGGAATTCCGGTACAGTTTGAGTAGATCCTTTTTTGTCCTGCTATAATTACTAATCCATCATGAGATATATGTACCTTACCCTTTCAACTATTGCTCATATATTACAGTATTCTCAAGTACTAAAGTCTACTATTTCCAAAGTTGTTCAAATTTGTTCGTGAAATTATGCTCTTTAGATTGGTTTTTGGATAGTACTTACCTTTATACATTGATTTCTCTTCGAATTCTCCATACATTTCTTTAGAAATTATCAATAGCATCATCTGGTTGCGCTTCTCGACCAGTCCATCGAAGCTCTAGTTTTTTTTTTAATTTAAAAATCATGTAGGTTCTGGCTCATTCTAACTGTTTTTTAAATGTTCTGCATCCTGCACTTCCGGTGGATGCGTAATAGACTGATGCATTTTTTTGCTTAAACGTTTCCAAATCTTGTGTGAAAATGTGAACTCATTTGGGTTGAAACTTACTTTGCACAAACTATTTAAAGTTTTATTATGATTATATGGAAAATCCAAACGTTTCATTCATTGCTTGATTGATTCCTTTATTTATCGTCGATCTTCGCAATCGAGCGCCAATCACCGATGGACATAGATTGCCATCCGTTGACGGCAATCGAATGCCAGGGAGTCGGCTTCTTCACCTGGTAGATATCGCACCCATCAACACAATGTTTTCTACCCTTTTTCTAAATTGGTCCGAGATGATGCTCTTGTAGGAGCTACAAATTTGCTGAAGATCGTTTTTTAGTGAAACGACAAATGAAATAGTTATTTTATTATTTAAGAGATTGATTATCTTACGACATGATCAAGCTGTTGCTTTGTAGGCAATACTGTATTGTAGCAGTTGTCAAATTGTTGCTAACTGCGACCCACATTGAGAAATTGCATGAGCTGGCCCATTAATATTGATTACAGATGTTATAAGGTTAAAATTACCTTGCAAACTCAAAATGTTTTAAAATGCAAACATGAAAGCCTGCATGATTACCTGAAACCCAAAATGGAATTGAATCGTCCAAACTGAGATATTTTACCAATATTTTAAAACAGCAAAAAAAAAACGGCAAAATTTAGGTAAAACGCCAAATCAGTCCAAAAACAGCCTAACATGTACAAAAATGATCTGAAAACACTTAAAAGGAACATGCATGAGTAGCCATACAACAACAAAGAAGTATTAACACTAAAAATGGCCTTACGTAAAAGTGAACTCAACACGCTAAAAAAGTTATTGAAACGTTAAAACATCCTGGAAACTCTCAAAGTAGTATTAAAAACACCAAAAATGGCCTCACATTCGTTAAATTAAGCTAGAATTAACAAAATTTATTTAACTCATAAAAATGGCCTGGAATAGGTTTACAATAGCCAAAATGACATTAAACCCCTAAACCAGCCTAAAAACTCGTATCATAATATTTAAACGTCATAATGGCCCTAAAGACTCTAATAATGACACAATAAAGCCTAAATCAATCTTTTCAAACTCACTTAAAAATGCCGTACAAGTGCAATATATCATTCAATATATTTTAATAGTTAGTAAGTGGAAGCAACCCTGGGTATGAGGAACTTATTTCAAAACAACAAGAAAACAAATCTAAAGCACTTTTTTGGTTAGTAGTCGTATTTCTGGGTATGATGTAAATGTATTCGCTATGTCTTCATATCCAGTGGAATATAGTGCAGACCTTTCCGTCGAAAAGAAATAGTTTGTTAACAATAGTCATCTGAGAAGTTAAAAACATTGTGAAAACCAGAAGCGCCGCCATTACCTCAATTTATCTGCTAACTAACAGTTACTATTAAAACGTTAACGTATTTCAAAATACTGTTTGAAATGGTCACCTATAAGTAGAACTGTTATATTATCTGACTATTAGAACTATTATTGCAACCAATCTGATAATTTCTATGGTGCACAGAATAGATAAAACAGCCAGCCACAAGCATATTTTAACAAAGCAACTGATTCGTATGCTTGCGTTATCAGGAGAAATTCCCTATCGAAGTGGCTGGTATATGGATTGGAAGTGCATATGGAATTATATAATTTTTTAAGCTAATGTGTAGTATTTGAATGTAAATCCACTCTACTTTTGGAGAATTATTGATTAAACATAAGGTAATCTATTTACCCTTATTCATGCAATAAGCTCATACCGCAACTATAGGGACTCCACTATCACTGTAACAACTACCCTATGTCTGCTTACAAATTCGGATCTAGTGACTACAAGTCTACTATTGTTTTTTCTAGTGTTTTTTCATACATTGTTTAAGCTTTGAGGTAGATTTTGATGGGCAATGAAGCTATGAAACAAGCCTATCTAAAATAGGTTAATATTTAGGGAAAATTGCTTGTTCACCCATATTCATGTTTTCGTTCGAACCGTATTTTCCATACAAAAAAACTTTTTTTTTTGTATGGAAAATACGGTTTGAACGAAAACAAGAATATGGGTGATTATCTAATGCAAGTAGTAAAATATACAAGGTCCGTCAACATGTTTGACATTTTGAGGAAAATTTCCGTTATTTACCCAGTTCATGTACCAAATTGTTATTTAAAGTATGGTGGGACTGATATCCTTTTTTGAAGATAATCTATTAATTATAAAACTTGTTTAATTAATTTCAGTGCATATCCTATTATAATAGGATTTTCTTATTCTTGAAGGATGGCGTAGATGCCGAACATTAAATTTAAATTTAAGTGGTCTTCAAGATAGAAACAAACAAATTTAAAAACATAGTTGAAGTACTGTTTTACCGTTCAATATGTACATCAATTGTACGTACATGCTTCTACAATTCCATGCATCTGCAATCTGCCCACACTGTCGCACGTGTCTGTTCCGCCTGACTCATCCTATCGAGCAAGTGTTATTGTGTGACTTCTGCTGAGAACCAGTGCCAGCAAAACTATCTAAAACTATCATATGTGTCTATTCCTACTACAGCAGTGGGCTTAAGGTAGCAGCTGGACAACGCACACGAAGAAAAAATCGTTCTCCGTGCTATAATAATGCGGTGCAGTCAGTCCAATCATACATACAGGCATACAGCAGCTGAGCTCAGTCAGAGTCAAGCAACTTTGATTCATCGAGTGTGTTCTTTTGGGAAAGTTGCTTCGTGCCTCTCCGAATCCGGTTGATATGTTTTTATACAGTATGATTGAATAATTTGACACATTTTTCATATTTATTTTTTATTTGTTATTGCACCCTACAGTCGACGGTGTGGCGTACTGAAATCGTGTTGAAACTGCGTGCAATAGTTTGATAACTTACGAAGAAGATCTGTGCAGTAGTGGTTTAAGGCGTTTGATTGCGAACGGTTGCGGCCGAAAATATATAGTAGTTGAAAGCAAAAGCATAAAAAAGTGTAAAGTGGCAGAAAAAATCGTTCGGCTCAAGGCGAAGATTGTTCGAATTGTTTGTGCAACGAGAAATCGATTTTAGTGGATAACAACAGAGCGCGGAAGAGGCGCGCACAAACGGTAGCAAAATTTACAAATTACATAAATCATCGACGGCCATGGCGGTGGTTCGCAAGAAACAGGATGATAAAGTGTTGAAAACACTCCGGGAGTTGGTTACCATCGGAGGCAACAAGGAGTGCTTCGATTGTGGTCAGAAGGGGCCCACCTACATCAACATGACCATCGGTTCGTTCGTATGTACGACCTGCTCCGGAATACTGTAAGTATTGAATTGTTTGTCGTTATTTTAGGTTTGCTAGAAAGCTTAGCATAGCTGAGACTGACTGCACATACCATTGGTTGCTACTCCGTGATTGATCAGAATCAGTGAAATTGCACAATAAATCTACTGAATGAGGCTGCGAGTACCGTTCATTCTCATTGTACAAGTTTCAGTGACTCCATATTTTAAAGATTAATAACGGCGCCGGCCTCGTCCTTGCAATCAGGTGAGAGTGAGCAAGGAATATTAGAGTAACCTTTGTTGTTTCTCGGACTATGTTTACCTATGCGTCCCCATAAAGGTCACAGGAGGGGGACTTTTTTTTAGTAGGTAGAGTTCGTTGGATCAAGATTCACTTTGATAAGTGATGCGATCGTGGTTTTAATATAAAATGTATTGTTTTTCGAAATTCACACGAATAATATTCACGCAAATGATGCGAATCTATCAGCTCCGTAATTTAAAGGCTGCTCAATAAGCAAAAACGGTCGTTACTAGGCCACCCAGGTCGTTTCGAGTTTTCTGTTCACCCAGGTCGAAAGAATCGGTATTATAGGGTGTTCCAGAATGTCTAAGCACGACTTTGGAACACCCCTGCTTGTTTCAGATGACGTTTAAACAGCTGATTATCACGCTGAATCATTTTTCACGTTTCAACAAACAGTTTCGTGCATCGTAAGTGTCGGTTCTTTACATTTTCGTGACAATGCATCGTGCATTTCTTCGGAAAAGCGCAAACAGATCGTGCACAAATGGTGTACTATCCCCATCATTTCTCTGAGTCAATTAGCGAAATTGGAAGGTGTAAGCATCGGAGCCGTTCGAAACGCGATTCTGAAGTATGGTGATGAAGCAACTTTCCAGGACAAGCAAAAGTCTGGACCGGAAAATCGTGTAAGCTTTCACTCGCAAGAAAAGTGCTTAGTTTCGAGACGTGACTATAAAAGTGGGATCCTCGAAGAGTAACGTCTAGCGGGCCAAGGCAAGAATGGGTATAAAGACGTATAAGAAGCCAAAGAAGCCTAAGCGGATTGAAAAACAAGCCGCATCCGTCAAACCGAGGGCTCGAAAGTTATACGACCAATTGCTGTGCGAAAAATTGGTGTGCGTGATTATGGACGATGAATCATACGTTAAATTTAATTACAAAACTCTTCCTGGTGATCAGTACTACACCGTTCGTGGTGGCTGAAGTGTTGACGACGCGGATAAGCCGATATTTTCCGAAAAATTCGTTAAAAAGGCTATGGTTTGGCAAGCCATTTGTGAGTGTGGTAACCGTTTGTGACAACGGAGACAATGACAACCGATGTTTACGTGCGTGAGTGTTTAAAAAAGCGTCTGTTACCCATCCTCCGCAAACACGACGCCTCATTACTGTTTTGGTCGGATTTGGCGTCGGTTCATTATTCCAAGGATCCGGTAGCCTGGTATAAAACCAAGGAGATGAATCCGCCAAACTGTCCCCAGGCCAGGCCAATCGAAACTTTTTGGGCCCTGACCAAAGCATATTTGCGGAAACATGTAAATATTTTGTAAAATATCAAACAATTGCCATAATAACAAAATGTGATCTTTCAGTTTTAAGGCAATAACACCTAAAAGAGTTATTGGATTGGTATTAGAAGACCTTTAAAATAACAAATTATGGAATTCAGGCATCAAAAAAGCGTCGGTTATCTGTCAGTTATTATATTGACTCAATTATTTATTTATTTGTTATTCGTAGAACATTTCCTCAATGTTTGGTATTTTACCTAGTCCTAGCCCTAGTCATTACCATATTTAGGTTACCAGTTATGCTATTTCCATACCTTAATTTGGTATAAATAATTTATTTTCTCCTGCTCGGGAAGGTACCTGTGCTGAAGGTAATGAGTAGCGTGAGATCAAAAATCCGGTCCCTGGCTTACGACTGATCGGATCTCGGATTTTCCACGTTTAACTGTAAGAGAATACTATAGAGAACATGAATACGAAATAAAAATCGAATTTGCTGTAAACAGAGTTACGTTATCATTTTTTTTAATCGTGCTTAGACATTCTGGGACACCCTACAGTTTGTGTGTCCATCTACCATTATCCGCCGTGTCCCACTCCTGTTGTCACTTCTGTTGCCACTTAGCCGAGACTTCCGCATAAGAGATGGTTCTGTAGGCACTCACGACTCGCATGGCCATGAACCGGAACGTACTGCTCAGTTCTTCTTTCTTTTCCAGCGCTGCAACCCAGGCTGGAACTCCATAACTCTTGATTTTAACTATCGCTTAGAGGGGGCGTGCTCCTCGACGTCGATCGTTATCACGGCGCAATATCGATCTCTTCTCCGCTTCTGTTTGGACGCCTTCTTGGCTCCCTCGACCACTGCCCGGATTGCATCCACCGTTGATCTCTCTTTCCGGAATCCAAACTACCTCTCCGATAATCCGTGCTCACTTTCTGTGCATTTCGTCAGCCTGTTCAGGATGATCCTCTCCAAGAGTTTTCCAAGTGTATCCAGCAGGCATATAAGCCTGTACGATGCTGGATTTAGCTTCTGTATTTTCCACCTGTCAGAGAAGTGACCCTTCCACCTGTCAGGGAAGTGACCCTTCCACCTGTCAGGGAAGTGACCATGTCCGGAGACGCCTGGATCGACGCTTTCAATACCACGTTATGGATTCCAACCGGACCGGGAGTTTTCTTCACCTTCAATCTTTTCGCCACTGCTACAAGTTCCTCGTTGGCGACTTCGACGTTATCTCTCCCTCCCTCTCCGTACGGTGTAGGTGGCCAGGTCGTTGGGTCGTGCTTCGGGAAAAGTCCTTCCACGATGACTTTCAGCTTCTCTGTGGATATTTCAGTGGACATCGTTGGACCTTGGAGCCTACAATATGAATTATGAAACCGTTGATGTTGTGATTTTTAGATCAATGAACCACTTTGTCAATCAGTTTAAAATAACTGCCACTCAAACTTTGAAATATAATTTTCAGACTTTTTATCTAGAAAATTGAGAAGATTTTGTAATTTACACCAAAGCGTAATGTTTATGTCGTTCATTTGTTTTTATGTGGCAGGTATTAGATCAAATAAATAGTACTGGACATAGCCGATCACTTCATTCGAGCAGTTTAAAAATCATTCCTACCTAGATCTTTGAAATATAATCATAATTTGAGACAGCCAAATTTAACAAATCATGTTGTTTTTCTTGGTAAATGATTGTTCAAATGAAGAAAATGTTATCATTATTAAGATTTTTGTTAGTTCAAATATTGCCGCGAAATTTCAAGTTTTTCACATTTCTCGACCTTAAATTTGGCTTATTTTGCTTGCGATTTTCCAATTTCCCTAATTATGACTTTTTTTAATCGTTGAAAACTCACATACTTCACCGACAACAACAGCTACATCCGCAAACATTGTTTTCGCGCTTATGGCGCCACTGTGTGGCACTGAATGAAAAAAAAGAAGAAAAACCCCTTTATGATAAGAACTAGCAATGCGTGGGAGAAAACCTTGCTTGCGCCAGACATTCCTATGAAATAAATTCTTTTCCTTCGCAACTGCATTGCCCATCATCAGATAATTCATTAGCCTAGTTATATGTAGTCTGGTTTGCATTTTAATTTGATTAAAGTTTAAATTATATATATTTTTGTTTCTGGCGAATAAAGTGTTTTTCAAATGCCAATAAAAAAATGTTGACGAAAATTAATGCAAACTTTCTCAAATTTCCATATTTCACTCTCGCTCGAAGCCAACAGAATGTGTATGTGTATCTTGCGATCTTTTGGGTCCTATGTTTAAAAGCTGTTGTTGTTGGTAGCAGCACTCACCAGTCAGAGTAGGAAGTGGCTAATACAACCGTGCGTCGTGTGGTCTCTTTCGGAGCCCTTGCAACTACATTGGAAACTATAAATTTGCAAGGTGAAGGAAAGAGACGGAATTTACGAGGCTCCATCCACCACATGGCACATACGTCAAAGCGGCCGTCTAGCACACCAAATGTTAGTTTTTTCCGTTTCGTTTGTTGCTGTTTTACATTTTCATTGTTTTGGTTTATTTATAAACGCGGTCGCTATGTAACGGCCATTTCGCGACGGGAAGCGGCATTGTGCGATGTTGCTTTGGAGCTGCCGGTGTATCAAGACTTTCGATTGGTTACAGTCGGTGGTGCATATTCGAGTTTATATAAATTTCTGTATGGAAAACCTTTGCGATGTTGGTCAAATTATGCGAAACTAGCTTCGTATGGCAATGGAATGGCTGATTCATATGTTTAAGATCTTTCAAATAGACATTAAGATATTGGTGGCCTCCCTTAGCTCAGTCGGTAAAGGCGCAGCTACAAAGCAAGACCATGCTGGAGGTGGCTGGGTTCGATTCCCGGTCCGGTCTAGGAATTTTTCGGGTTGGAAATTTTCTCGACTTCCCTGGGCATAGAAGTATGATTGGACTTGCCACACAATTATACCAATGCAAAAATGGTACAGGCATCGAAAGCTCTCAATTCATAACTGTGGAAGTGCATCTAGAACACTAAGTTGAGAGCACGCAATAAGCTAATATGCGATATGCATTAAGCTTGAAATGCGAAGAAGAAGAAGATATTGGTGTTTGCGTTATTCGTCATTATAAATTGAAGGTTTTTCACTAAGCTAAACTGTTGGGTCGTTTACAGATGCTAGTTTGACGTTCTATGCGAAAGACGAATCCTACTTTGGAATTTAAAACGATCGTTTCAATAACAGGAAATGGAAAGATATTGATTGCCATTGTTTTCTTCTAGCACCTGAATACCAATGAGCTATCGTGTTGTGCAGTCTCCATGTTTATGAATCTATCAATACAAACGCTTTTTGCACTTTCCATTCACAACATGTCAAGAGAAAACGCAACATGAATCGGAAGGGTTGGGGTCTCTAATTTCATCCGTATTTAAATATTCATACGGCGGTATTGAGTTTCCATGAAACAAACGTAGATAACCGATTGTTGTGGTGTTTCGGTCG